ACAAATGAATCCCAGCGTCTGATGTTCGTACGTGTGCACTCCTTTACTAGTTTTAACCACTTGGTAGTAATACCTAGCATGCACTCGACCGACTGGCAACTACTGTCGATATCTCGATGTTCAAAGGCTTCGAGTGCGCCAGTGTCCATTCCTGCTTCACTTTGATTGCTTATCGCATGGAATACTTCCCTAAATTTCAAAAAACAGAGTCGTAGGGCTGAATCCGAAAAAAACTCGTAACGAAGCGATTTAAAGGCAACACGTACCTGATCTCTTTTTCCATAGCTCCTTCCTCCAACAACACGTATCGAATCCATGTCCATAAATTTGCAGCTATAAGGTGCATGGTACCGAATCGGGCTATCGGATGATGTCCGGTGATGGATAGCTCAAAGTAGCAAAGGTAACAGTAAGCACTGGTGAAAAAGGCAGTGGGACAATAGCGGAAAGTGAGCCTTTGGATAAAACTTTCTTCTGCCTAACTACAAGAGTATGGGATTGCTGCTGAATTCATGTGCACGCCATATCTGATTGCAATAGGCACAGTATCCTCAACTTATTCCCGACAGTATGCCATCCACGGTGGGCACCCAAAAGTGGGAACACAGCTACTTCTTTTGGAACTTTTTTCAACATGCTGCGAGTGTGTTCTCTAAATGTGGTGGCATGACTATCGGTTCGAGTGGCGGTGGGTGCGAATAATTTTGCATCGTTGTAGCGCTCAAAAGTCATTATGTAGGCGAAGAACGATTTTCAAGGCACATTCGCGGTCCCACGAAACCCATGCTCAGGAGCACGGTATACTGGTGATCGGCTATTCATCTTTAACATAGAAGGCGATATATCATCTATTAACATAACAATTACCGTGGCATCCTGAGCCAAACCTACAACATGACGTTTTCACCAAGAGAAGGTCATCTAATCGTGAATCGCACGGCCTAACCTGCCTACTCATACTCCCGTACTATACGACACGCCCAAAAAATCACAGCAGTGACCATAGGCGCATCGAATCCAGCAATCTTGACAAACGACTCGGATCAAGCTGTTATTCACACCATAACCTGCCAAGAACTGAATGGCTCGTTTCCCTTCTTAGGTTTTTCTAAATGTGAGTTTCATGTAAACAAAATACTTTTCATCATAGAGGTCGCAGTGCGAGAATTCGCAGAACGGTTTTAGACTTCTTTGGCTTTTTTCACTTGATTCCCACCAATCTCGGATAGCCGTTCTGTGAAGAAGACACCAGTATGTCTCTGCTTATATTAAGGATCCCTGTTGATATTGTCGTGAAGTTTGCTACCGCTTGAAGTAACGTGCTTTCATGTTTCTTTTGCAGTCGCAGTGCTTTTTCACATTGACCTCTGACCAGCAATGACTTATCTCAGGCGAAGGCCCGTTCAGTCCCTTATTGGAGCAGTCAATAAGGGCCTTAGATCAAGCGTTCTTGCCGTTTCGTCCTGTTTTTGCTTTGCTATCACCCTCTTCCGTGCTCTCTCTCCGTTTTCTGCAGGGAACCAAATTATCGTGCCCTCTGCCACTGGAAGAGTTCGCGATCAGGGATTACGGTCGAATCAAGGGTACTTCGTGGTAATTCGGAGGTGATTCCTGATGAGCTATATCGTCCTTGCATCTCTTGTTTGTTTTCAGTGGTTTGAATAGAAACGAAATAGCCAGAAGCGAACAAAACTGACCTTCGAGTTGCAGAAAATGAAATGCATCTGGATAAAAATGAAGACGATAGCGCAGATATCGAGAGCTGTTGTGAATGCAGAGCAGCTTGAGTCAACAACGCATAGAAAAACAAGAAACGAGTAGTAGACTACACCAATGACGCCAAACACTGAAATGGACAATTAACTCCTTAGTGCAATCGGTCGTAGCTAACAGTTCAATCCTGTTTTACTTACCCACGCAGCCAAATCTAAGGAAAAGGCTCCCAGTCGAGGTACCAGAATGAGTCACTTTCCTCGTGGTGATAACAGTTGAGCACAGTGACGATTCATTAGATTCATGCTTTCTCGAGAAGTTCTGAAAAGCATCTCATCAGGGACGCAGTGCTGACGCTGCTGCGTTGCGGCTAGGCGAGAAGGCGATGTCAAGCGGATTTCTATGTTGCGCCACCGTCACCGGCACGAGGACCTAACGGATTTGATACGGGACTGCCACTGTACCTGTATCAAGCGCTGCATGTATATGTCAACGTCAGTGTCGAGACATTTAGCTAGGGAATACTGACTAGTTTATATGTGAAGCGGTTGTATGTAAGGTTCCGTTATACTTGAATGAACGTCCACTGTTCTAACCTGGAGCTGGCAAAGAGAAATTTGTCATAAGTGAGTCTTCAATAAAATACCTCACGTAATGGACCAGTCAAACAGGTTTTCAGTGCGCCTACGTTTAAATACCTCACCACAGGTATCTCTGAAACAAAAGTTGATAGAATGACCTACAATGTGTAAAGAGTAGAAGAGCATGGAGTGCAGCGCAGGTTTGCCGTCCAATATTTAACAGTTCATGTCCGGGGCGAGGCGTTTCCACATATGTAGCTGGTAATGCCCTAACCAAAGTCCGACGGGAGGTGCGCAGACATGTTTCTGTACAACAGAGGAGATCGGTACGGAAATACGCAACTCTTACACTTCGCAGCTATACGTTCCTATCACGAGAAGTCCCCCTCCCTTCACATACTCCCACATCCATCAATCACAGTAATAGCGCAGTGACAAACGCAACCGGCGGCCAACTGGTCCTGCAGAGAACGTTTTCGAACGTTGGTACCAAGTCGAGCTGTGCAAAGCGCCTCTACTGGATTGGCACCGGTGCTTACCCAATCGATTTTTTAAATTCACTCTCCTTTTCGATGCTCATCTGCGCTGGAGTGGCAAGGTATTATAAATGGGGGAACGACAACTCAATCTTAAGACCAATAGAAATCCCTATCTTCCTACTA